CGGCGGCGGCGCCGCCGCCGCCGCCGCCGGCACTGCCTTCCCCGTTCGCTATCCTTCCCGTCTCAGTTCCCGATTCTGCTGCTGCTGCTGCTGCTGGCGCTGCTGCCGCCGCCGCCGCCGCCGCTGGCTGCTGTTTTGTCTCCCGGGGTCCCGGCATCAGATTGATGATCTCCTCCCAAATGAGGTCCGCCGGAACCTCGAATGCGGACGCGCCCAACACGTGCACCTCGATGTGGCTCCGCAACGCCAACTGCTCCGGGGTGTAGTGGTGTTGTAGTGCCTGGCAGTGGTGGTGGTGATGGTGATGTTGGTGGTGGTGATGGTGGTGGTGCTGTTGGTGGTGGTGCTGTTGGTGGTGGTGCTGTTGGTGGTGGTGCTGTTGGTGGTGGTGCTGTTGGTGGTGGTGCTGTTGGTGGTGGTGATGTTGGTGGTGGTGATGTTGGTGGTGGTGATGTTGGTGGTGGTGATGTTGGTGGTGGTGATGTTGGTGGTGGTGATGTTGGTGGTGGTGATGTTGATGAGAGCGAGCGTAGGAGCACTGACGAACACGGCATTGATGGCGGTGGACGTGCGAATGCACTCGTGGTGGTGGTTTTAGCAGTGCCGAGGGTGTGTGTGTGTTTGCATGCATGTGGACCGCAGACGGATTTTCGCGTACTCCGCACAACTGTCCATTATTGTCCTACGCTTTCGCCCGCATTTCGCCCGTATTCATTTGTCTTCGCAATCCCTAGACGCCGTAGTACATATCTTCGTCGTACTTGCTACCTTCTCACAACACCTCGTGAGCAAGATATGACACACCCTGCCCAGTCGGGAAAGCCGGAATGTCCCCCACAACACCGTGATCACGTCTCCGTACACCGTACACCGTACCTGGATTACCGTCAACGCCTGCGACATTCGCTTGCTCAGCAGACACATCATTGCGCCGTCAAAAGCGGGTAGTGGCCGCCACGCCCGAAACGCCGCCCAGCCTGCCGGCACGGGCTCCCAAACACCGCCGCTCGAATGACCCGTGGGTCGCGGCGGCGGCTTGTCAGGCACGTAGTTGGGCAGCCGGCCCGTGGCGGTTAGGTACCGGTGTGTCAGCAGCTGACTCTCGTTCATGTGCTGGTACGACATACATACCGCGGCGTGAGGCCCCGTCAGGTAGGCAGTACGATGCTCGTCACACACCCAGCCCCAATGGCAGTGGGGGCAGCAGCTAAGGCCACTGCCGCCGCCGCCGCCAGCGGCGGCCGGCAGTTGCACGGCGGCGGCGCTTCCGTGGTGGTCGCATGCGGTGCCACTGCTGGCATCTGGAGCGGCGGCGGCGGCGGCGGCGGGGGCGGGGGCGTGGCCAGCAGCCGCAGCCGCAGGATTGGCTGTTCTGCTCTTGGCGAGCTGAGTGCGGGTGCGCATACAGACGCTGCATTTCGCCTCTCCAAGAATAGCACGGAGTTCGCCGCGACTTAGCGGGCGACGTAGCAAGGGCTCCAGAACTCGCTGACAGTTAGTACGCTGAGCGATGCAGAATCGAATTGGGTCAGGCCGAGTCAGTTGCGCCACGTTGGATATTGGAGCTTTGAATTTGGGTCCAATCATAGCGCTTGTTAAGGGTGCGGGGCGGGGATGTTACATGGTCGGGGGGATGTTACATCGACCGCGTATATTGCAAGCCTTGATGATACGCGCCCTGAAAGAGCTGCTTTAAGGCCATCCCACAGCAACTTGAAAGGCAATTAGCAGAGGACAGCAGAGTGCAGGCGATTAACGGAGAGGAAAAAGCAAAAAACTTAGCAATTTCTGACGCAGCGTACAGAGAAAAAAATGGTGGGATAAAGGGACCAGAGGAATTCACTATGTAGTATCTCTTGAAAGGCATAACTGGAATCGGACGGGATTTTGTTGCTGTGGAAAAGGGTGAACAGGCGTGAATCAAAAACGCAAACTATAAGATTCGGCTCGGGGACTGGAGTTATGATCATAATGGAAGGAAAATAATGTTACATATAGGGCATAACAGGTTGTGATAGTGGTTCGTGCGTTTTGCGGCTTGCCCTTTGCGGCTTGCGGGAGCCGTCGGGGACTTCGACGACTTCTGACAGTCATGTCAAGATACGTAGACGTCCCAGAATGCGTGCAAGGTTGTGCATAAGGTACTCCTGCAGGATTTTTTGGATCTTGCGCAGACGACAGGCATGGTGATCCTCTTAACACCATACGTAACCGACTACCTGCATGTAGAACTCGTGTGCAGTGCGCGGCCAGGATTCCAAAGGCAAGTCCTTCTGCAAACGGACGCAGTGGTGTTATAACAACTTTTACGCGAGGGCCC